ATAAGCTTCTAGAACAACATCCTAAATTTTCGAAACGATTCAACGGTCAGATTTCCACCAATTGCTAAAATTAAGTGGAGGCCAACGTTTAAATTTGCCAACTTAGAAAACCCATCTGGGAAGATCTGTACGTCAAATTCCCAATCCGTTAGTTCCTAATATTCTAAATATTATGTACTATTACATTTTAAAGTTTGGTGATTGTTCAATGGTCAGATCATCAATTCATATAATAGCCAAGTAGCGGTCCTTAATGGAAATATAATAAACAATAGAATTTCATCAATCAAATGTCTATTATGGAATTGGGGCACCAATTTTAGCCTAGGGAGGTCAAGTGGTGTCTCTGTTCACATGTCGCTGCCCCGACTTGCTGGAAAATTCAACTATTTTCAAAAATTCTCAAATTTTACAGAAATGAAGATCTCAACGAATAGAGCAAGTTTTATATCTGTGGCCAAATCCAATTTGGTCAGGAAAGACCCAGATCATCCTCGAACCACCAGAAACTCTTGAATTGGGTGTTCTTGATTTGTCGAATCCAAAGCTCCGCCGCCTCCAAACTTGTTTGGGGTTTGTTCCTCGGCTCAAGGGAAGGCTAAGTGGTGGACGAAGGAATCGCCTTCAGAAATGGCAGATCTCCGCCAATCTCTTCCCGGCACCACCGTTGCTATCCCCACAAAACCAAGATGAAAAACCATCGGGTTTGGGGTGGAACTTGAAGAAAGAAGGTCGTGGAGTTGGTTTTGGGTAGTGTTGACGGTCATTTCACCGGTAAAACGCCGGAATCAGCATCGGGGTGTCTAGGAACCATGTCGGGTTGGCAGAGAGGAACCGGGTCAGGGGGATCTGGTACTACCTCACACTCTCATTTCCCCTCCTTTCTCTCCTCTCACATTGGTCGTCTCCTTACCTCCATCTTCTGGTTGGTCTATCCACCCTTACATTCTCTCCTCCAATTAGGCAGCAACCCCCTCTGCTTTCTCCCTTCTTTCCTCCGTCCATTACTATCCCTTCTCTCATTTCTCACAAAATAATTTAAAAATAATAATATAATAATAATGAGAATTATATAAAATAATAAAGAGTAATCTTTACAAAAGTACTTTTCAGATTTATAGTTCCGTAAAATCCCTATCGTAACTCAGGTTTCGATTCGGATTGCGATTACGTGATTGTCCCGTCGAGAACTTCGAGAGTACGGTAAAATAATAACTTGTATGCGTCATGAAAGGCGGTCAACGAAAATCAACAATCTAGCCTCTAGGGCATTTTCGTCAATTCACTCATTTAAAAATTAATAAAAACATAAAATTAAAGACGAGTTGTCACAATCAGTGGAAAAGTTTTAGCAAGAAATATAGACAACATAATCCTACAAAGAGTAGTTATTTTTCTACTCTTCTTTGATCCCGTAGTTTTGTGCCGTACTTTTATCTTTACATTCTCCTAAAACGAAAATTAAGAGCACATTTGTGCTGATAATGTATTACAAATAAAATATAGATAAAGAGAGAGTAAAGAGAAATATAGAGAGACAAGAGAGATTAGGAGGACAAATCAAATTGTCATTTTTTTTCTCATTAAAATTTTATTTATAGGTGTAAAATTTACATCAAAAAATGTCTCTCTTTGTTTTTTTTTTTTTTTTTGTACAAAAACTACTTACATAGTACATAATAACCTCAAACATATTAATAATATTCGCTTCTTAGCAAAAATGATCATTAAGATTATCATAACTCTTCATTTTGTTCTTTGAGATTTGAAATCGATAGAAGTGGTCCATGAGTTTGTCTACTATCAATCATTTGAGTTCTTCCATGAAAATCTCAATTAACTAAAGATTAAATGACAAAAATACCCTTAATTTTTGTCAAATCATTTAGACCCATTATTAAATTGAGAGTAATTTTTTTTTTGTTTTGATTCTTATTTAACAAAAAATTTCATAGAATGACCAAAATGATTGATAGTGGACAAACCCAGAGACCATTTCTATTTATTTAAATCTAAGAATTAAAGTAAAGAGTTATGCTAATTTTAAAAACCATTTTAGCTAAAAAGCCATAATATTTACCCAACCATTTGCTTCAATCATTATTAATTTTTAATTCCACATGAACCACATCTTGATTACCTTAAATCATGGTCGATCAACATGATTAAGGCAAATTTTAAAAGGATGAACATGTCGCGTAAAGTCACGCATTCACAATAAGATGTTAAAACATTTTATATGCTATTTCACCCCACCACCTACTAAAGTGAAAGAAAAAAAAAAAGAGAAAAAGAATAAAAAATATCAAATCTCACATCACAGTGGCATGCTATCATCACAATGTAGCCAATTTAGCACCCACCAACTTTTGTCCAGTGGAAATAATGGCATCTGAATGTATCGAACGTGTATTTTTAATACAACGATGTATTAAGGAGTTATGAGTTCGAGTTAAGTCACTAGTTATAATAAATTTGTTTTGAACTTATTAGTTAAAGAAATCAAATCTAAAACTACTCACTTATGAATAGAGAAGAATATCAATGGTAATATTAAGAGGTCTAAATGTGTACGAAAATTACTTTGATATTTTATTGCACTTAGGTCATTTCCAGTCAAAAATTACATGCCAATTTTAGCTCGAATTTTTGCAAAACCTGTCACCAACCAGGAGCCAAGATGAATCTGTTAATCAAGGCTAAATTTAGCTAGGGTTTGCTGCATATAACAAGCCCTCAAGCTTCTCGGCAGACCTTAACATGTGCATTACAAGTTAAGATGGAAAACTTTGGCCGTGCATGGCTAGAGATACATAAATTTAGCTCCACAATTGTTTCTCTCTTTTCAGTCGGGTTGGGCCGATCGAGAGAAGGAATTTTGGTCCTTCTTCTATTTGGGTGCGTAGGCGTGCCCACCAAACCAAGGAGTGGTCTGGATGGAATATGTGAATGTTGTGCGTCGTGAATCTGATTTCTAACCGAATGATTGAACGGCCAAGGAAGGAATCTCTTCTTGACCTAGGTCCTTTTACTCCCTTAGGATCAAGGGTGGTTAGAGCGGATTTGAATAGTTTGTAATTTTGGATTTATAGATGCAAAGGAATTTAAAGGTGCGAGAAATTAAAGTGCATGAACGTAAAGTGAGATAATATAAAGAACAATAACATAAAAGGATAGGAAGGTAAGCGCGTAAAGTAAACGACGTGAAGTAAAATGCGATTGAATAAACGAACTTAAATTAAAATGAAACTGAAATACCAAGATAACTAGAAGTACTTAAAACATTAAAGCCTAAAGCAATAAACTTACATGAAACCTAAAGCAATAAACTTACATGAGATGTAAATGGCCGGTAGCCGAAAATAAAAACTTTTTCCTTTTTTTAAAAGGGAACAACTGGTGATAAATCACAGTTATCCATCCATTCTGAGGGTTGGGAAGACTCACAGAGGAATTTCAGCATCCCCCTGATCACAAGTCTAGCTTTCACACCAACAACGGATTTTGAACTCGAGATCTTCAATTTTTAGTTTTAAAAAAACATCACCAGCTTGTGATTAAGTATTCATGCCTTTATGGGTTGATTAACTTTGTTTCTTGCCTTTTTGAGTTTCTCATGTGCTAATCTCCTCCGGATATCTCTAGGAGAAATTAGACCTTTTTCTTTCGCGGATCATGAACCATGATTACCTCATATTGACCATCAATTACTCCGTTTGCATCCAGACTTTGATCGTTGCTACTCTTAGATATTTCCGCGTGTGGGATTCTTTAGACCACCATAACATTCTCTGTTTCTGGGCCGTGACGGATATTTTAACTTCAAGATCTTGGGTTTTGCTTGATTTCTTAGACCAACGAATCACGTATCATGGCCGAAGTTGTGACTTTCAGGCCCTAATAAATTGTTCTACCCTTGCTATAGACGGGTTCGACCGACCTTTTAGATTGACCGCAAGCACGATCAACCCGTGCTATCAATTTTGACATAAATAAGGGCTGCGACGATATCGACTCATTCTAGGCTAAATCATTTTCAACCTAGACTAGAATTACGTCGAGAATCTTGACCTAAACCTTACGATGGCCGTATACTACCGTATTGGGATAATTGGACCGTTAGATTAATGTACATAACTAATTGAATTAGATGGTGTAAAATCGGGTACAAATAATAGTTTTCTTTAAATTTTGAAGAAAGCAAATAACAGCGGGAAATGTTATTGGCATTTTGAAAATTTCATTCTATACTTCCCACAAGTGTATTTTTCTTTTCTAATATAAAAAGTTTGGAGTATAGAATAAGATTTTTAGAATGCTAATAACAATTCTCTTTACAGCAATTCGATGACATGGTTTAATTCAAAGGGGTTCATTCCATTGGGTTTCAGTCGACAGTTATATGAGCTCAATGACATATCACCCCGTCTTCCTCAAGGAAATAACGTGAGTCCTGTAATGCAAGCACACCATGAATGCAATGTCTCTCTACTCTTTTGGGATACCAATTTGTATCAAATAGATTCACCATCATATGACATCTCGGTTTGATAATATCATACTATGTGAAAAGAAATTTACATAAAACTTAATATTATTAGACTAGAACAACAGATAACGATCAATATGTTTCATAAAAGTTTTTATCCTCTCAGGAAGAAGGTAAAATATATTTAATTTTCAAAATTAACTCTCCCAGCCAAGGGTAAAGAAACTAAAAATGGATTACGCATCCCATTACCTTTACCTTCTGCAAAAGAAATAAAGCAAACCAAAGCGAGAACGACTTACCTACACTCCCTCAGGCTATCGTGGCACTGGCACTGGCACCTGAACCGAATAGCGTGACATTGAGTTTTTGTGTTTTTTATGATCGAATTATTAGTTTGAGATACACAATAGCATAAAATCTCTCTCATTTTGCACCAGTACAAACCAGAAGCTTCTCCTCTGCTGTTTTATACTCTCTACCCCAAAAATCCATTGCTCCTGGGTCTCTCTCTCTCACTCTGATTTTTTTTTTTTTAAGAAATAATTAAATAAAAAAGCTAGGCACAGATGCAGTAATTATTTAATTACTTTATTTATTCAGATTTCCTCCACAGTCCACGCACTCATTGCTTCCTTCTTCGGTTCTTCTTCATCACCCAGAACCCGAAGAAATAAAGAAACCCATTTAGCTGAAGTAGTCTCCCTCTCTCTCTCTCTCTCTCTCTCTCTCTCTCTCTCTCTCTCAGCAATGGGAGCTTCAAAGACCAAAACTTTACCACATTTTCCATCATTTCGCTTCATTTTCTCACTTTTCCTCACACTTCCGGCACTTTCCTCCCAACCCATTTCTGCTCAGCTCAGCGGCAGCAACCCATCAAAACTGTCGTCGTTTTGGTCATGGAAAACCGCTCCTTCGACCACATGCTGGGTTGGATGAAGAAATCCGTCAACCCAGCCATCAACGGCGTCACTGGCAAAGAATGTAACCCGGTCTCCACCAAACCCGATGAGCCGACAAAATCCATCTGCTTCTCCGACGACGCCGAGTTCGTGGATCCGGATCCGGGTCACTCATTCGAAGCGGTTGAGCAGCAGGTTTTCGGGTCGGGTCCCCTCCCGTCAATGACCGGGTTCGTGGAACAAGCATTGTCAATGTCCCCAAACCTCTCTGAAACCGTCATGAAAGGCTTCAGACCGGAATCCGTCCCGGTCTACGCGGCCCTGGTCCGCGAATTCGCGGTGTTCGATCGATGGTTCTCTTCAATTCCCGGTCCGACCCAACCGAACCGGCTGTTCGTCTACTCCGCAACTTCCCACGGCTCGACCAGCCACGTCAAGAAACAATTAGCTTCCGGGTACCCACAAAAAACAATCTTCGATTCGGTCCATGAAAACGGGTTGGATTTCGGGGTGTACTTCCAGACCACCCCGACAACAATGTTCTACCGAAACATGCGGAAACTGAAGTACACTTTCAAGTTCCACCAGTACGATTTGAAGTTTAAGAAAGATGCTCGAAAGGGGAAGCTCCCGAACTTGACGGTAATCGAACCGCGTTACTTCGACCTCAAGGGGATGCCGGCGAACGACGACCACCCGTCGCATGATGTCGCCAATGGTCAGAGGTTGGTTAAGGATGTTTATGAGACATTGAGGGCGAGTCCTCAGTGGAATGAGACGCTTTTGGTGATTACGTACGACGAGCATGGCGGTTTTTTCGATCACGTCCAGACTCCGTATGTTAATGTTCCGAACCCGGATGGGAATAGCGGTCCGGCTCCTTATTTTTTTAAGTTTGATCGGCTCGGAGTTCGGGTGCCGACGATTATGGTGTCGCCGTGGATTAAGAAGGGGACTGGTAAGATTGTATTGGCATTGTTTTCGAATGTGTTTGCATTACTACATTGAATGTTGGATGTGTTTAACTTTTTTGGTAGCTTTGTTCTGCATGATCATTTAGTATCATTTGGTCTGATTCTGTTGTGGCACGTTTGAACTGCTATTGTAGGAAGTACTTATGCTCATAAGCACTCTACTAGAAGAGCTTTCGATAGAAATTCAAGTGTTTTCTGAAAAAATAATTGGAAGCGCTTTCTAAAGAAGCATTTGACGGGTGCTTAACCAGAAAGAGCTTGTGAGACCCAAAATACCCTTCCAATATTTCTGTCAGAACCCAGTCATAAGCGTTTTTGTCCCCTCCAGAAGCAATCCCAAACAGACGCTTAAATTGTCAGTGTCGAAATTAAATCGGATTAGTTGGTTTTTTTCTCAGTGAAAAATTTCTTGTGCACGCTGTTTCTGTGGATTAAGTAGAAGTAGAATTTGGTTGGTGGGCCGTTGAGTTCAACCCGTATTTGCTAAGTTGTGCTCCCGGGTCTTTTTGCTGTTATTTGCAAGGGGTTTGGTTGGTGCCTATTAACATAGGTGCAAATTGTTGAGAATCTTAGATCAATAAGGGTTGTTCTGTCTGACTTCCATTGTTCATTGCACTGATGTTTGTTTGGTTTTGCAGTGATGAGCGGTCCTCAAGGACCTACACCGAACTCCGAGTTCGAGCACTCCTCGATCCCAGCCACCATAAAGAAAATCTTCAACCTCAACTCTAACTTCTTAACTCACAGAGACGCATGGGCGGGGACGTTCGAGCAAGTTGTTGGGCAATTATCTTCTCCCAGGACTGACTGCCCAGGTATCTATCATGTTCTATACCCCCAATTACATAATGAATTTGATGCAACATGCATTATAAAAGTCGTCTATAGAATTTTTACAAAGTAACCGAATTTTGAAGCGTTTGTGGTTGTCAGAAAGCGCTTTTGACCCTTTCATTAGCAATCCCAAATAGACTAGAAGATACATTTGTTATTGTGGGTATATTTGAAGCTGTCAGTGGAAGAAAACTGACTCTGTATCCTATCCCGCTGAATTCTTGCAGTGACCTTGCCGGACGTAGTGCCTTTGAGGAAAACTGAGGCCAAGGAAGACGGTAATTTATCGGAGTTTCAGGGCGAGGTAGTGCAGTTAGCGGCTGTACTCAACGGCGACCACTTCTTAAGCAGCTACCCGGACGAAATGAGCACGAAGATGAGTGTGAGGGAAGCTCATGAGTATGTCAAAGGTGCAGTTTCAAGGTTCATTAGAGCAAGCAAAGAGGCTATAAATTTGGGAGCAGATGAGTCAGCAATTGTTGATATGAGATCTTCCCTCACAACTAGGTCATCAAATATTAAAAATTAAATTGGGTCCTCCAGAAAGGGAGATTCAAACCTGCATTATTCGGTTTTATAAAACTAAAATCCATGGGCATGTTTATGCAAACAGAAAGGAAACTGCAATTAATTCTAATTCCTTGGGCCTCCCTGCATTTACAAAATTACCAACGCATGAGTATTAGTATTAGGGTCGTGTTATTTATACATTTATTTTTACTTTTCACACACATTTCTCAAATTTGGACCGTCGGATCAAATGAATTTAAGAAGATCAAAGGCAAAAAATTAACAAAAGTGTATGGGAGGTAAAAATAAATATGTGAACAGCACCTTCCTAGAATTATTACAACCATCAACCTTAACTGTGTTTAGTAAGACATGAATAAAAACAAGCATTTTATTCACTAACCTTAACCGGTGGTACTGCATACCACCCTATTTACTACCAAGGAAATTCACAGGGACAATAAAAGGGGATGAAGAAAATCACTGACCAGTTGGGTTGATATGCTCCAAAGTTTTGAATCCATGGACTTGAGGTTTCTTATTATTTTTTTATTTGTTAATAATTAATTTTTTCAAGCTTCTTATTTTGTTAGGGATCTTTATTTTAAATTCCAATTATAAGAGGCTGAGCCACTCTCTATATTGCCAATTGATTTTGTAGTAAAACTTTAACTTTCTTCATAGATTAGATACCAACGGAAAGTCAACTAAGACAATTCTATAAGTACTACTATAATTCAAAATAATTACATGGTTGTCAATCAATCCTACCATGTTTCTCGACCGGTCAACTTTTTCCTACGACCAGTTCATCAAATTTCCGACGATCAGTCAATCAATTTTTTCGGTTTCAATGTCACTGTCTAACAGTGACCTTTAAAAAAACAAGTTAAGTGATGAATTTCTCTTCAATTCTCCAATTTTTTTGTGTATACATGCAATAAAAAACTATAAAATCATATAGCAAAACATAATTGAAGGTGAAAAGTTGCACATACTTTTTAAGTCATTGTTGAACAATGATATGAAATTTTCTGGCTATCGAACAATTTTTTAGACAACAATGATGGTAGCCCGCGAAAATCTGTGGCACTGGTGGCATGTGGGTCATGTATAATGAGAATTGATTGGTAGTTTTTCTTAAAATTTGTATTTGTTTGTAAAACTCTTATTAAAATAGGTATTTAATTTAAATTTACATTTTCTGCCATTTAATAATGCAATCTAGTGATATTTCTCTGTATTTGTAAGGGCAAGGTATTAGGTTCAATTCTCACCAAAGGCAAATTTGAACTACATTATTGCTAACCTATTATGAGGCTAAACTCACCCTCTCTCCCTCAGTGTCAATAATATTGTTTGTTCAAAAAAAAAAAATTTACCTTTTCTTAATCATATTTTTTCCCTTATATAAGTATGAAATTAATGAAGCAAGCGGGAATTTTAAATTACACAAACAAAAGTGCTTGAATTAAGTAGGATGCCAAAACATTAATCTAACAATTAAAATGGAGTATGTTATGCTATAAAGTATCATAGAATTTTAGAAAATGCTTATGTCATTTGAGTTTCTACTTACGTGCTTGGTTCTGAAATTGTTATATAAAACTGGGGGTGGGCAAACGGGGTCCTGGACCCACGGGTTGGGGTAGATCCTTACGGTTCGGGGCGGGTATGGTCCGAGTCCAAAAATTATAATTACCAAACGGGCCGGGGAGGGCCAAGTCCTGGTAAATAACGGGGCATGCCGGTTCTAAAAGTTGAAAAAAAGGGCCCCCAGCTCGGACCGTTGATTTCCTACCCTCTCTTATTCTCAAACCCAAATCACTGAACACCTATTTCTTCCTCATCCTCAAGCCTTTTCTTTCTCCATGGACCTTTAACAACAACCCAATCTTCTCTAATGGCCCAAAACCCAATCTTCTCCGGCAACCCCAAACCCCATCTTCTCCAGGGAAACCATCTTCTTCCCCCCCATAAGACCTCACAACCATGGACTTACTGCAACACCAGAAGGGTAGTAGCACCGATCTTGGTGTTGACGCTATCAGAGGTAAACTTCTCACCCTTCCTTGTCGATTCATGCTCAGGTTCACCGATTGAAATATACCATGGCATCAATGACGCCATCGATCACCTCCTTGACTTCCTCAAGACCCAATCCCATAGTTCCCCCAAACTTTTCTTTCAATTTTCATCATTTCTTCACAAAATCAATCATTTTCAATTTCCTTATTTTCTTCCTAAAAAACAAAAAAGATTGTGCCTTTTTCTTTGCAGGAAAAGATGAGGAGACAGTGCACCGCCTCATTACCAAACTATCGCGTGCTGACGCGACCATTTACGATGACGATGATGACGGTGTTACTAGTACATCTACGACGGCGATGAAGACTCTCCTTGGAGGTGGTGGTCCGAGATTCGAGATTCGAGAAAGCTCCTGGAACGATCCAGAAGAAGAGAAGAGAAAAAAGAAAAAGAATAAAAAAAAAGAAAAAAAAAAGAGATTCGTGGACCTGGCCCGTTTCGGGCCGAGTTAGATCCGGTTTCTGTGTAAGAATTTGTTGGAACCGCCCCGGCTCGCCCCATTTATTTTAAATCTAGGTACGGTCCGGTCCCTTCAAAATTGGGGCTGGCCTGTGCCTAGCCCTATATAAAATTGTGAATCCTGGTCGATGTGGATAGCAAGTAATTTCAAGGTTCTAAAAAACGCTAAACGCTAGTCGAACGGCAAGTTGGGACCTAGCGCCTAGGTGGTTAGGCATGATCTAGACGAACTAGGCAGATTTAACTAAATTCATTATATTTAATGTAAATAAGTGTATGTTTATACTTAAAATATATATAATTTTATTATAAACTACAAAATAAAATGACACATATATAAGTATTCAACAAGTCTCTTACAATTTATTGAAAAAAATAAAATGCAAAATGTAGGTTATCTATTTTTTGCCTAAGTGAGTTGCAACCTAGACGGATGCCTCAACAGGTCTAGATGTTATTTCTTAATTTTCAAACGCCTAAACATTAATCGCGACGGTGGCCAGCCGCCTAGCGCCTACGCGGTGCTAGGCGGTGATTTTTAGAATAGTGGTAATTTACATTGATCATGCAAAATAAATTAGGTTCTCTTCTACTATCCATATATATTGTCAATTAGTTTTTATGATTCAACTAACTGTTTAAGAAATTGCGACAAATATAGACGACAACTTGATATTTTTCACAAAAAACAACAACGATATTTCATTAATCATTACAAACAAGTACAAGGGTGTGAATTGGGTACATTATTATGGTGACCAACACATTGATTTGGAGTGATTTTGCACAAACAAACAATTCATTAAAACTTAGACACAGTGCAAGCACAAATGCACCCATACAGAATTGTCACAAGAACGATAGACACAAAAAACCTATACTAGTGCACACACCAATCTTCATTGACAAGACAAAGTTATTGCTGAAAATCGAGACCACATAAAGTCACCGCTGAAAGGTTTGAAAACATAGAATCATTACTCAAAGGTGAGACCACATCAAACCGTCGCTCAAAGGCGAAACAATATCACCTGTTAACGCGACACAAACAAATCTACACTAATCTGAAAAGAGAATGCACCAGTCCGCTAGTCTTAGTGGAAGATTTGGACACTTTAGAAGACCACCTACAACTTCACCACACAAGTGTGATCCGTAGCTTTCATAAAGCAAGCAAGTAGGGCAGCCAGGCGCCTAAGGCAGCGCAACCACACAATAAGTTGGGTAAAGTGTCCCATTTGATTTATCTTGAGTGTGATGAAAGCATTTGAAAAATCATATTTGAAATGGCAATTTAGTAGTTAGACATAGTCAATGATTGGTGTGTTTCTTCCATTTAGAATAAGGTCCATTGATTAAAGATTATCCAGGCAACAAGGTGACGTAGAGCACGACTGAAAAAGATTGAAGAAAAATTATATAATTATAAAATGGGAAGCAAAGTTGAAGTATTGCAGATTTAGTATCTAACTAGGAAGTGGTGCATGCGTATTGATGTGGAATAAGAAAGTTCGTAGGTAATAACTAAAAAATTAATAAAAATAGATTCAACATAATTTCTAAGTTTTTGAGTTTTGACTAACATTATATTAATTTATTCAAACAAATGCATTGAGAAATAAAGTGTAAGTGAAATTGGATACATACCTGGGTTGAGAATTTGGATAACATGTATTCATTGTCTTAGTTTAACCAATATCATAAAAGATAAGTTTGTTGCAATTTAGTACAACAAAGATGGAAATTGGTGTGTTATGCAATACAATATATTTAGTGATAGCGTTATATAAGAGTTTCAAAAGTCTTGCAAATCATGCTATCGTTAAATAGAAGTTAATATCATTTTTTAAAACAAAATTAAATGCCATTCTAAGATGGATCAAATTTATGTAAATTGATAAACTTAGTTTTGATTATCTAGAGTAAGAATCATCATTTCCGTATCTTCTCTTCAGAGTAATTAACTATTACCAATTTATACACATACTTTCTTCTGCTAACTTACTATGAATAAATGGCTAATTATTTGGTTGTCTAGTGAAAGGTTTAAGGCCAACATTCAAAAGTATTAAAAAGCATCGTTCCACGAAAGATATGCTCTGTCCATATTTTCTAAATCTGTGAAAGAACACATTAGTTGTGGAAATGTCTACTTTTAGACTTTTGGATATTCAATCTAACCTTTCAGTATGCAAGCAGGTAATTTGTCATGTATTTAGATCATGTGAAAAGAAGATATATATATATATATGTGAGTAATATCTAATTCCCCTAAAGAGAAAGCTTAGTAAAAATTGAAATAAAATGTAAAACGTCTAATTCACCAGGATTCAACGATCAAATTAGAATTTCAACACCGGAAAACTTAACTTCTGACGAATTTATGTGTGATTCTCTCAGTAAGAAGGTTTAGGAATGTAGAAGAAGAATTTGATAATTTATGTTTTCTAAATGCCATGCAAATAGATGTATAAATAGTGAGATTATGCATGTTCACAACAGGTATGAGAATACGATGTGACTGTTGGGAGACATCTCTTCGGAGGGATGCTGTGCTCTCTACGTTTTTCTAATGGTTTCAGACTTCAT